AGGGCTCGGCTTGGCTGTGGCTGCTTTGTCTCGGCCGGGGGCAAAATGGTCTTTTTTACTGAGGTGAAAAGCTGCCTCCAGGCGGACGGGGGGTCGGGGGAGCTGAGGAGCCATTTGGACCGCTCGGACCGGGCGGTGGCTGTGGCATCGATCGGCTCCAACTCCATAAGTGTGGAAAATGTTTTTGAAGTGTTTGGGAGAACTGAACTTCTTTTTGGGAGAGGCTGGGCATATTGGGAGGACTTTAAATACAAGCTGCCTAATGAGGCAATGAAAGTCACCTCCTATGGTGCCCTGTGATTGTGAAAGTGCACGACCGGCCACTTAGCGTGCCGTTGGTCAAATTTATACGGTGCTCGAAAACCGGCTTGTATGTGCGGTTAATTGAACCGGACCGCGCTGAAAACGGCGGTTCCGATTTTTGTATTTGTTTTTTTACCCGTCGGCTTTGGGCTACAAGACGGGTCTGGGTTTTCGCCAATTTTTTTTTTTTTCTTAATATTTCTCCAGGAGAATTTTATAGGTACATCCCCTATATATAATTCCTGAATGCGCTGAGCCTACGTGGCTGTTTCTGGTGTTTCGGAATTCTACTTGGCAAAAAATCATGCTTTATAATTAGGTTTGGACAAATAATATTGATATATTAATAAATAATAATGTAGGTTCAGACATTACATAAATATCATTTAGTTAACTTGGGTATTTTAATATCACTTGTACTAATATAACTCTTTAATTATTTGTAATTTACTTAGTGAGACACTAAGTGACTAATATATCCTTGACTTTTGATTTGTTTCCTTCAATTAGCTATTGAATTATAAATGTATTTTAAAAGTTGATAACTTTTGTATTTCTTATCGGTTTTACATATATAATATATCAAATTAATCATCTTTTCATGAATTTCGATTTGACATCCATATTGTATATATAAAATAAATAAATTATATTTATCTTTATAATAATAAAAAATAATAATATTTATTATAATTTATTAAAAAAATAAAATTATTTCTCAGTTGATATATTTATGTTTAACGTAGTTATATGTTGTAAGTTAAAAAAAGTATTATAATATAACACAAGTAAGTCACACAAATAAAAAGTGTCATACAAAATATATAATAATATATATAATTTAATAAAAGATATTTAAACTTTCAACTACTTTTTCTCATTAATTTTAGGTTTTAAGGAAAAAATTAGAAAGCACCCGTGTAATACACGGGCGTTGTACTATTAATATTGTACATAGAAGTGTACATAAAACTCTCATTAAGTGGGTCCTACCAAAAATAAAAAATCAAATGGACCTCACTCCATGTGAGTGTTATGTAGATCTCTATGTACATTTATTATGTACTTGTAGTATTTTTTTTTCTCCGGGCCTGGTCGGGTTGACCGGTAGAGACCCGACAGCCAGATTGAATCTGGAGCGTCGGATCAATTTGGCCTGGTCAGTTTTTTTAATTTTTTTATCTAATTAATTAGCCGATTGAGTCAAAACCTAGTCCTGGGTCGGACTCGTCCCGCACGGTAGCATAACGTTCAGAAATTTAAAGATACTCATTGGAACTTTGGACCATTGAGATCCAACTATCGTCCATCATCCGACCCGCCTGACCCGCCGAGTTGATTTGAATCCGGCAGGTATACGTTACAAAATAATAATAATAATAATAATAATAATAATAATAATAATAATAATAATAATAATAATAATAATAATAATAATAATAATAATAAAAACACCTATAAATACCCCCACTCCAATCTATTTTTCTTCTCCCTAACAATCACTCTTTCCCTCAATTCTACATTCTTCAAGTATTCGGTTTTGATTATTTGTGCTCGGTTTGCAAAAAAATCATTCCGATTACATATAATTTCGGTTGCAAACTTCTATTCTATAAATTCACAATAATTTCACTTGCGGTTCTACAAATTTACTCTCATTTATATCATTTTAGTGATATCCGAATTTCAGTATGGTTCTGAATCGTACAAATCCATGCTCACCTCTAATTTACTCCATTGGGCGTGCCAGAGGCTATAAGCAATAACTTCATCTGCTCAATTTCATTAACGATTGACAAGTGAAAGCTGAAAAAGATTAATAAATTTTGTGAATGTGATTATGTATTGATAAATTTTGAGAATGTGAAAAAGATTAATAAATTTCATTAGCCTACCCAACTTGTTTGAGACTAAAAGGCTACGTTGTTGTTTGTTGTTGATTATGTATTGACGATGAGTTAGTGTCATTGGTTGACAGTTGCTTCAAAATAATTCATAAGACTAATTTACATTATTCTTTACTATCATTGCACAAAGTGTGAATTGCATTTCTCTTTATGGACAAATTCACCTCTATATAACAGGCAATTTAGGTGTGCCTTGTACTTATGTTGTCGAAGTTAATCGGATACCAACTATAGACAAGTAGTACTTTACATACAAAATTTGAAATCTACTGTCTAAGGTGGTATAGAGCTACTATGACCACCAATTGATGTGACAGAAGATTAACATATATATCAAGGAAATAAATACCTCGCTAAAGTTGTCTCTATTTGAGAAATAGCTTTTTTTGGCAGCGTGCCGCTATTTGTATTCATGTGCAATTTAGCCGCTAAATCCCGCTAAATCTCCGCTATAGCTACAGTGCCATAAACGTTTTAGCCCGCTATTTAAAACCTTGATATATATATATATATATATATAGTGTGTATGACATTAAATATATGAACTCTTGACACGTGGCTCGTGACACATCTTAATATGCTAATAATGGGTAGGTAAATATTTTCACATCACTATAATATTTATCAGCATGAAAAATGCAGTATTGATTACGCTTTTTGTCTGAGGCGTGTTATTAAAAATTTTATTTATATTCTGGGGAGATCAATTTTGCTAAGGAACCAACTGGTTGGTTCCATATAATTACTGCTTGGGGAGATATATTAGAATTGCGCTAATATTAAAAACCCGTAATTATAGATGTACGTTCATTTAAATGCGGAAGCAAGTTTCTACAAAACATGGACGTTCAGGAGAGCATCCCGCGGCTCTCCCTTTGGAACTCTTTCATATATATAGATGTTTGGGCCATTACAATCAGGAAGTATAACGAAGATTCCCTCTTCTGAATCAACAATGTAATCACATATACAACTACTTTCCCGATTACAAATTCTTTATGGATTTTCTCAACACGAATCCATCATATTGTTCTAAGTGTTCCTTCCAAACTCTTATATTATCTTAGATTATGAATACGCTCGATGAGATCGAGAACAGTCTCGTATCCACTCAATCAAAATAAAAATAATCTCTAAATAAATAATTCGCGAAATAGAAAGATAGTTGTCGAAGTTGTTTTTTCAAATCG